ACATGGATCCATTTCATCCGCTGTTGAGGTTCAGCCCTGACCTGGGTGAAGCACAGTGACATGAGACATTATTTTACATGTCATTATTTGACAGTTCAAACCCAGAGAGGACACCAGGGTTTATGTTACTCTTATGGGCAGTGCTATTAGGATCTTAAATAAAAACTGAGGACTGCAGTTTAAATTCTTATCTGAGGAAAGGAACAGTGTCCTCAGTCAGCATAGTCCTCAGAAGCTTTGGTTTGGTAATGATGTTGTAGAGAAAAAAGACACCTACACCTACCTACTAGCCCCAATCTAGTTTACCTGTGGAGATCTGATTAGATCAGCCTACAAGGTGACACTGCTGGCTATATTAATGTGCATTGAAAAAAAAAATTATAGTTTAATAACCATGATTACTAAGGAAGATGTGATGTAAAATCCTTTGCTTAAGGTCTGCTCAAATGCATATAATAAACATAGAGTACAGGTGTCTATTGCCATATATACATGTACGTTGGAATTCTTTTTCGTGCCAGTCTTTTATGACATACACTGTACAGCAGAAGACACTACAGTATGTCAGACAGCACCTCACAATATACTGTGGACGGTACATTACAAACATAGTAAATAATGATAACCGGAACAATACATACATTGTAGAGAACAATAAATATGTGGTAGTGAAAAACAATATATGGTAGTCCATGCAAAAAGTGCATAGTGTAGAGGTGCATTGGCTTCTGAGGTAAAAAAAAAAGTTGCAGCAGATCTTTTGTGAGTAATAGTAGGTGAGGTGTGTGGACCCAGATCCCATTAAAGTATTATTTATGACATATTAAATGGCATTTATGAGCAAAACCTACCTTGAAGGCTTCTTTGAAATGTTCAGTTAAATCAGCACACGTGACAGCTCAGGATGAATTCAGGCCTGACACCTGTTTAGGGTGCACATTGGTTTTGATTTACGTGCTGCTCCAAGCTGTGGTTCAGGTGCAGAAATTTATGATAATATAGGGGCATCTGACTTCTTTCATTCCGCTCTGGTTTCCCTTGTTACGCATGACAATTCTGGAATTGTAGACTAACAGCTGCCGTTTGCTTCGAAGGTGAGCTGTCAGACACCAACAGCTTCTTGCTAATGCAGAATCATGGCTTACCAGACCATCGCTAATAGGCAGAGGAAGTTCTCTTTGTGGTCAGCATAATGGCAGGTGTTAGGTTCTATTTTTGTGAATTTTCTGCAGATGACTCTTTCCCTTGGGGTTATCATCTGCTTATTACTGAGTTCTGCCCCTCATTTCTTCAGGGAGTCTGGGAGTCATGATTGTCTTTAAATGTGTTTGCTCTATCAGCATGTGTTTTTAATTACCCCTTCAAATTCAATTCCTAATGATCAAGTCTGATTTCCAAATATGTAAAACTGCTATGTTGGTACAGTATGTTGCTTATTGGGTATTATGGAGCATAGCCCAAAGCCTTGGAAAGTTTAATAGTATTTTCTCTTGAAGCTTTTTTATTTGTTTTGTCACATTTTGAAAACAGGAAATTTCCAACACTGTTATTGAACTGTTTATGTGCATGTTTAAATCTCTCTCAGATTGTGGAGTCCCTCAGCTCTGGGTTTTGTGCTGCTGAGAATGAATGCTTGTAGACACATAACAGCGTGTGAGTCACAAATCCTCCCTGTTCTCCTGTTACTGTATCAGCTCCATTAAAAGCAGTGCAGTCAGTAGCCGATGGATTAACTGTGGTCGTTGGCAGAACCTCAGATAACAGTAGAACCTGCCTCTGTTTTGGTTGATGTTAATAATCCAACTGTGTAACACAACTGGGTTTATCATTGTCGTGACTCTTTGTAAGATGAATTCCTGCAGTTAAACAGAGCATGCTTGGACACCCTGAGTCCATGGCCCTTTGCAATTAAGGAGACGATAATTAGGATTGCACAGGGCAGTATCAAGTGCTATGGTGAAAACTTCTTTGCCTGCTTGGACATAATGCACATACAAGTATCACAATATTGGGTGTGATTATTCTAAAAAGATAATGAATCATTATTTTTAAGCACAACTAGCTGATGAAGTTTAGAGTTAAAAGTATGCAAGTGTGGTTTTGCCACTTTAAAATAACCTAACCTACTGTAGTTAGGTTATTTTAAAATAACCTAATGATAATGGGAGCAACCTCTTTATAAGGGCTGTGACTGGATTGTACTTCTTTGTGAATGTGACTCTTCTAGGTTAGAGCTGGGGTACCGAACTGCCCCCATATGCAGTGCAGCATGAGCTTTGATGTATGAATGTGTACGGCGGGAGGGCAGAATCAATAGTGCAGCCAGTTCTTTGTTCTGTTTCAGAAAGAGCCAGTCCACTAAGAGACACAGCTCATTAAGAAAGAAATGCACAAATAGTATGAATTTCTGCCACAAATGGACATGGATGCACTTAAAAGCATGCGTGTGCTTTTAAATTCACAAAGACTTCCAGTATGTTCAAGATTTGGAAGTGTAAAAACAGAGTCATCTACAGTACCACGTGAACAGATCTTGAAACTCACATGCACACGCAGTCTGGAAGCTAATTGGGTGTCCATTGAAAGCCCACCTTCCTTCATGACTTCCTAATAGAGAAAGATGAATCAATCAGGTCTTTGATTACTGCAGGAGATTTTTTGTGGGTTACCCCTTTGTTCACATTGAGGATTTCACTAATTAGGGTCTATACAATGGTTGTACGTTCGCCTGTGTGCTCCTGGCTACTCCTGAGTCTAAATAATGCTGTTAGTTATAGATTGTATTCATCACCGCTTTTCAGAAGGCTCAGAGCACTGTGCAGTAGTACACACCAACCAAATAAAGCTGAGAGTAAAAAAAAATCATTATTTAAAAAATTAAAAGCTTCTGTAAAAAGATCAGTTGAGTTTGAAAACAAAATATATCCAGTCACTCTAAAATTCCACAATTTGTGTTGCTGTGCTTGAAAGTCTGTCACTCACTGTGTGCCCATTAGTTAGATCACACCAGATGTTCTTTTTAACACAGATATGATATCAAGGGACGTCTATCCCAAAGGTACAAAAACAGATTTTCAAAGACTGATTAATAAGCTTATCAACAAATGGACAGAGAAGCTAGATTTGACTACGGATATAGAAATCGGGTCCAAAATGCAGGTAGTGGTAGCAGGTAGTTTTAACTACCAGTTAGAGTTCACCGTAGTTCTATGAGAGAATCACAAACCTGTAATAACAAAAGTGGTTGTGGTCAATGTGATGACAAAATGGTGAAGTCAGCAGCTGATCATTTGAAGGAGGAACTGGTAGCTTAAGAAAATCCCTATTTGGGCTACTGATGTTGTTCGTAAAATTTGTAAGTAAACAGTCTCCTCCACCCGTGCTCAAGATGTTGACCTTCAGAAAGTGCAGCTGGTTTGAGTACCAAGGGGAAGAATAAGCAAAAAAAATGAGCTGAGTGAATGTAGGAGCTAAATTATCAATAGATAGTTTGACATCACAAATTAATATAACATTTAATATATTAAAAAGAATGACTTGATGCAAACATTCCAAAATGTTTTTCTGGCATCTTTTACTGAACTCTTCCCCTAATTTTCTGCAGATTTGTTCGTTATGTATTTGAAAATGAAAATGTCTCTTAACCTGTGCTGAGAATTATAATCATTACAATCTGAGTTACTCCAGATATTCCTCAACCTGAAACAAAGGTTAATGGCCTAGATATTCATGGACTCTTGTATTACTGTCAGGTATGCATAGAAATTAGCTTTGAAACACTGCAATTATTCCTCTGCTGAGAGAAGTTGAAAATCCCTGATTTAAATGCTGGGAATTAAAGAATTCTGACTTTAATTCCCCCTCGCAAACTCTTAACAAATTCACTCTTTAATGAAGAAGACATGACAAACCATGAGCTTTTCATTGTTTTGACTACGAGGTAAAAATCAATCGTTCTGTCATTATGTTTTAGTATGTTTATTAACAATACATTGCTTCTATTGTCCATCTCCAGCCAAAACAAAATAAATGTTTGTAAAAAAATAAGCTAATGAATACGTTCCTGTTTATTATTCAGTGGATAAGGCCAGCATGTTTACACTTTTGTTGTATCACAAGTAGGGTTTTTACGCGTTTGTGCTTCCAAAGGTGTAGCAAGTTGTGGAAATAAGGTACTTCCAGTAAATGTATTGAAGTGAAAAGATCAGGTTACTTTATTAGGCCTATACAATGTCTTGCATTAGGAATTTGTCTTTTTCACATACCCCAGCTAGCTCTCCATGAGACAGACAGGGAGAGAGAAGCCTGGGGTCAGAGCACAGGGTCAGCCATTGTACAGCACCCCTGGTGCAGTTGGGGTTAAGGGACTTGCTCAGGGGCCCAACGGAGTAGGATTCCTCTGCCAACCACGGGATTTGAACCCACAAACGTCCAGCACAGGCACAGATCCTTTGCCATAGAGCCACCGCTCCGCCGAGGGTGTCATTTTAGAATTACGTCTGGGTGTCAAAAGGCCCGGACAGGGAGCAGGGTGCTGATAGACTCTATATCCACTTTGATTATCATATGAAGTGCTAGCCTGAAGGTGTAATGGAAGATTCTTGGGGAAGATATACTGCAGCTGTTTCTTTTGCAGCTGAAACCAGGTCTTCCTTCAATTTGCAGAGCTGTTCCCCACCCTCCCTGGTCAGCCTGCATCTAATGAGGAGCTCCAGTGATTGCAATTAAAAACCCTGATGGGCAAGCAAGCCTAGCAGGGAGACAGAACGTCAGCCAGAGGGAGCTGGAGTTTCAGCATCCCAGGCAGTGAATTGCAGTGACAAAATGCAGCGCTGGTGGGTTGGGCTCTAGCTTAATCTCCAGCCTAGGAAATTTCTAGAAGGGCTTGAGTCCCTTTATTTTCACCCCCTTTGCTCTCTTCACCCCCGTCTCTCTGATTAAATACCATCCCGGAGGCTGTTTTTTCATTTGCTACCCTCATTACAATACCACCCCAGCACAGCCAGTACCAAATGCGCACACTCACACTCACACCCCCTCCCTCTCCTCCCTCCCTCTCTCTTCCTCCTCCCCTCTCTTGCACCAGACACTGGCTGGCTTGCAGCTTGCAGACAGCATGTGCAACAGAGGAAAAAAACCAGCTCTCTTGTTCTGTAGCGGCGCAGCAGTTCTTATGACAGTGCTCGGAGGTAAGGCAGGACGCCGGGTCCTGTGCGTGGGGGAGACTGAGATGGCTTTATCTCTGACAGCGGCAGTCCGCAGACAGGAGAAAATGTGAGGAATGCTTTGTATCCACATCATCTTAACCTGCCTTCCTTTTTCGCCCGTCTTCTGCAGGTCTCCCAGACGTTCTCCCTCCTTCCTTCCTGATCTGAAGCTCTTGTCCATTTCTGTTCCAGCCAGCCCGCGAGCAGGTAAGCTTCTGCTTCTCCTAGCTGTCATCCTCCCATTCTTCCATCTCTTTTGCCCCCCTTTGTCTTTCTGTTGCAGAGATGCTGCGTCATTGTATGTTGATCCCACCAATGCATTGGAGCCCCTGCTGTCTTTTGTTAGGTGGAGCGGTCCAGCTCGAATGAAAAGCTCGTTGCTATGCTCCCCGTTGTCTCCCTCGGATACCTTGGCATTTCCTAATCCATCGCCTCCGCTTGGCGGGTCAATTCATAAGTTCATTGCGTTCCCTTTGCTGTTGTCAGCAAATTCACTCTTGTGGGTTTGTGTCTGGAGACCACCAGTGGTCGTGGTGATGGTGAGGTGGAGGGGGGTTGGGGGTGGATGCTTTTTAATAAAATGTTGCAGGAATGATGTCTTTCTTTATTTTCTGTTTATTCATTTTTTTACAAAAGCCCTTGTGCTCAGCTGCTCCATTGTCACTTAACTGAATAGAAATCCAAATACTTTCATGTCATTTAAGCTGTAGCTTGATGGTGGGAGCCGGTAGATGGTGTATGTCTAGACACCATTGATTATTCAACCGGTACAACAGCAAGACAGTGGCAGAAATCAGCCTGGGTGCTGGTGTCTGAATTGGCAGTAAAACCCTTAAGGTATGATTTTTTTTTTTAAGGAAAGAAAGCTTAACTGGTATGAGTGTGAGCTGTTATTGAGCACTTGTAAGAATTTGCCATGTCTTAATCAATGGGAGTCATTTGGTTAGAGTCTGACCTGCTTCCCTTGCTAAAAAATATTTCAGTGGTAACGGATCTCAGCCATGAGTCAGCATGGAGTGCTTAGCAAACTTCAGAAGAAAAAAACAACAAAATATGCCTGATGCAAATTTAACGGCTGAACAGATAATATTGACTTGCAGGGTCTTCGACAACGGGTCTTTCCGCTAGGCGGTGCAGTGTTTAAATGGGCGGTCGATGTAATTGTTCTGCTTTCAAAGGAGAAGATCCCTTTTCTGTTTTGTTTTTTCCTGAAAATCTGAGGCAAAATGACACATCCTTTCCAGTGTAAAAGCTGTTTATGTATCTCTATGTCAGGTGCCAGCCAAAACTGACAGCTAGTTTAATAACCTGCCCCTATTGGAATGTGCTCATTCTGTGAGCCTAGGATAGGAATAATCACTCTGTAAAACTCTTGTCTAGGGATGAGCTGGTGGGATGCATACTCAAATGCTCATTGAGTTGCTACAGGATTGCCGTTGCCTCTGCTTTTAACAAGCAAACCTTTCATTAGCGATGAAATAATGCTATTCTACACCAAAATGACTTCCCTCTTTTTTGACACGATAGCAATTAGCAATTGGTACTTTATGATGTCATTTGGCACAGCATTGCTCTGCACTTAATGCCAGTGACCTCAGGCACTTCTTATTCACCCGTACCTTTGTTGTCTCTTATGTTCAAGTAAAGCCTTGCCTCTTTAAGCTTTCCGTTAATGAAATAAAACTTGCAGCGTTATAAAACATGAGCCAATGGGCAGTTTTATTGTAGGTTCCATATAGTCTTTATTGAGCAGTTTGCAGTGTTTAAAACGTATTTTCTTTAAAAAGTTGCTCTGATCAGTTTTGATTTTGCAGTAAGAAATGATGCAAACCAGGAGTAATATTTGTAATGTCGAGATCCCCGTCTTCCAGCTTCTAGTCCGATGTATTTATTTGAGTCTTTGACTGAACGCTTTTCACATTTAAATGTCTAATTTGTTTAATAACATGGAATAGCGCACAGTACAGTGTGAATATGTCCCACAATAGTGTTGCGTACATTTTGTGGATAAATGAAAGTAGCTGTGGTTTACACAAGGTAATGAACTGAGAGCCTTCTCACTCCTAGCATACTACAGACCAATCACACTGACAGACCTTCAATGACTGTGGCAGCTATACTGTAGATAGGATACCAGTTGGCAGTGGGCTCCCCTTAATAAATAGGTGGCATACAGCCAATGATTTCTTTTTGTTTATCTGTATGAAAAATGAACTGCAGTAATAAATTCAGATTAATGGCCTGCTACACCTAACCTTATCGTTTTTCTTTCTCTCTCTCCTTCCTGACTAATTGAATCGCACTGTACTTCCAGAACAAGAGCTTTGTATTATGTGAGTAAATGGAAAGAGAATCCGTTTGTGTTTCTTGGCCTTCAAGCTGTTTTCAGTGTAAAGGAATTAAAACTCTCATACACTGTGAATTGCGGTGTTTTGTTACTTTCTAATAAATAAAAGGATAATTTACCATGCTTCGATACATTGTAATGTTTCTTGAACATCAACTGAAATGGTCATGGGGATGATTGGTAGCAGGCTTAAAGAGCAATCCATTTGCTGAGTTCTAGTTTTTCTCTGAAGGTAAACTGTCGAATCCATGGTAGATGGTTTAGATGGGTAGTTTGAGCAAAGAGAAAATCCAAACCAGTATATCCAGACATCATACGTCCATTATGTATGGGCATTGCCAGTAGATACTGATACTGGGAATGGCCAGGATTTCTATGAAACTGGGAATCCGTATGTTTGAGGAAGAACATCTCCACCCACAGAGGGATGTTGGCACAGCAGATGATTGATAGCACAATCTTAGTCATACAACATGGGAAAATGGAGGGTTCAAATGAGGAGCTAAATGAGTCAACAGATGTTACCTGGTTGACAGGGGGCTGACTCCCTTGCAGGACCTAGAGCAGAACATAGGCACAACATCTTTCATTTTGCTTGGCTCTCTGAGTTCTTTCTGCATTTTGTGTACTGCAGAATTTCATGTGTGGATTGAATGAGTGTGAGATTCATTACACATCTTTGTGCGTGTCTTTAATTCCCAAGGAAAAGATCATGTATGGGGGGAAGTGAATGGTAATCACTCAAACACAGCGTGACAGAGTTCATTTTCAGAATTTGTAAGCAGCGCTTGGACATATGAAAGTTAAACCCCCAGACTGCCTGTCGAATCAAGCCGTGCAAGAAGCAATGCATTTCTGAAGAGCTTATTTTAGATTGTCGGAGGCAAGGTTTTTATTTTGCAGACCGAACAACATAATTCCAGTGATGGGGGCTGACAGGGCAGAAAGCTGCCAAGCTTAGTGTGCTTTAAGTAACAGAGCCTTCAGACAAAAGCAGAATAGGCAGGGAGACACAGAAAATCCCGGCATGGCCATTCACATGTGAAACTACTTATTTTAATTGGGAGCATCCTAGACAAAAAGGTCTAATGAACTGCATTGCATAGATTAAATCACATTTCCCTCTTGTATGGTGTCTGTCTATCTTTTTGCTTGTCTGGCTGCCTGCTAAGGCAATGGCTTTTTTTGTAAAAGGTTAAAGATGTATTAGTTGACAGATGCCATTTCTTTTGCTCACAGACGTAAAGAAGATTAGAATGCTGTTTAACCCTTTTATACTGTATACCAAAACATGCCATGCAAACCAGAAACTTACAGTATATACAATATATTGTTCAGTCTTTACTGATATTCTTACTTTTAGAGCACGTTGCAGCCACCTTGAGTTGCAAAATAAAAATCCCGGGAAACTAATCAAGTGCCCCTAAGCATTCACTTCATTCCTGATCTTTGGTATACAATGCACATCGATTCTCATAAGTTCTTTTTTTTTGTTATGTTGCATATTTCGGAGGTTACCTTTTCCACCGAAGAAATAAAAGAATAGGCTTGATACCTACCCACTGTGTGTGCAATAGGCAATTTTGTGTTGTTCATTTCTTGGGTCACAGCTACAGTCCCTGTGACCTCCCACATGAGAGCATGAGGAAGGGAAGGCAGAGTCGTCTGCCTCGCCCACCTTCGGGCCACTTGTGCTTTAACAGGTTAGAGGCTACACAGCTACCCTGAGAGTGAGTGCTGATTGGAGGAGAGGTCTCTCCCTCACAGTCAGCAATGCATACCTACAGATTGCTGTGTCACTGTGAGTGCCCTTTGGAGACCCATCCCACGGCAGTACTCAGCCAGTTGAGTGTCGCTGCTTCAGGAATTCCTGTCACAGTCGCCTAGTTACATGACCCAGACTCTAACCCGCGATAGTAGAGCTCAGCCTGTTCTTTACTGGTTGTGCCACCTGGGATTAAATTGCTTTTTAATTGAAACAGTTGGCATCTTCCAGGTATTTGTTAAATCGACATCAGTAATCTTTTCAAAGCTGAAGTCAGCTTAAAAACTAAGTCAGTTCTAAGCTCAATTCATGTTTCCGTTATGGAACCGAGGGCTCCACCGAGATGAAATCCAGAGAAAATGGATTATGAAGCCTAAATCTAAATAACTCTCCATCTCTCAGTCTTGAACATTCAAATTACAGTACATTGAGATGAAAATCATGTATAAAAATGATTTTCCCCTCTATCAGTGCTAAATGGACTTGATGAATTCAGCATAATGAAATAATTAATTTGTTCTTTTTGAGACCTAAATCAACCTACCAGTAAACCCTCATCAAATAACAGGAAAATTATTTAGCCCCTTCAGTCTGTCATCATGATTTATGCCCTTCAGTCTGAGAATAAGTCTCAGTGTCCTTCTACAAAGCATCTCTGTCCTTCCCTCCGTATGGTGATCAGAACCAAATACATTGTCATTGGTGAGGTTTAATCAGGACACAGTGCAGCCTCGCTGTAACCTACGTATGACCATTCGCATGCTGTTAATGTTGGATATGTTCATGCACTTAAAACATAGCTGTCAGCCATCCTAAAATATATATGAATGTTTCATTCTTTTTACTTCATTTGGATTTTCTGAGCCACATATTGTATGTGCAGATTTGTTTTCTACAGAGAAGAGTGTTTTTCTTTTCTGGCTTTCTTTTATGATTTTTGTCAAAATTCTGTGTTGATTTTGGCACGAGGCGGTGCAGTAATCCTTCTTGTTGGGATGGGCAGAGAGAGCTGTGTGTGCTCCCAGGCTGCTACGTGACAGGCAGGCAAGCCTGGTTTGCCCCTTTGTGTTTGCTTGCTCTATATGAAGCCGCTTCAAGCCCAGAGTCAGCTGGAGCCTGTGCTGTGTGGCCCGGGGCTTGGTGCTGTCCTTGCACACTCCATTTTCAGCTCTGTCGGCACAGGGCTGAGGCTGTGCCAGGGACACAGTAAAGTTAGGAGGGATCTGCGGGATACTTGCAATGCCTTCCGCCCTAGACTCAGGCCGGGGGTGCTGTGTGCCTGCTGATCTCTCTAATGTGGAGAATGAGAGGAGGGGAATCCAGCCCACATTAAACATTCATGCTCAGGCAGCACTGGTGTCTCTAGGAAAGGTGGCACAGCCTGATGAGGAAGAACCTGATCCCAGCATGATGGCTTCAGAGCAGAGCTCTGCAAAACGTTTGCAAAATTGTACTCCCCTCTTCAGATTCCCACTTCTCCTGCAATCCTGTACAGGTACTGTAGCAGATAGATTTAGTCTGTTTTCACAAGATGCTGAGGTGGAATACAGCTGTGAACTCCAGATCCATGCAGTAAATCCCTGGATACAGCTGTAGAGGGTAGCTACAGGAATGCTCAAAAGGTTGCTTCCTCTAGGCAGAAAGTGTGAGGAGATCTGCAGTTGAAATGTTATGGATATCTGGAAGCTGAAGGGAGGCTGCAGTGTGAAAATGCTGTATATGCTAACCTCAGCTGGAAGCAGCAGGTTTTGACCTATTTTTCCAGCAGAAAGTGTCCCAGATTGGCAGAGAAAAACTTAATCACAGTGTGAGCCGTTTGTTCTCTTCATAAAGAAAATACATACTGTAGGG